ACAACGACATTTATCCAAAAGAGGCGCATATAAATTTTCTCCCATTGACTTATAGAGGTCGCAATATTGACCTGACAATTGGTCAGAGATATAAAAATCCGAGATGGGTATACATTTTATATATACTGTTACTCTTATCGCTCCCCAATAGATATTTTCATTGCGATTCCAAATGGGCTAAGCCGCGTTTTCAATAAGCGTACTGCATAAGCACACCCAAAATAAACGAGGCATGTTGGCTGAATAATGTATTATGCCACGATATCAAATGATTTGCATCAATAAAGCGGCTATGGGAAAATGGTGATATCTACAGACTAGGCAAGGTATGTCAAACCAATTTGCACTGTTCATTATTCAATATTCACATTCCTTCCTTGATATGGGTGGTATACCAGTTTGCGATGACCACAAATTTTCCACATGGAATGGTGTGAATGACAAACATTCCCGGTAGGTAAGACATGTTCCTGGGTACACGGGAATGGTGAGCGCGGGCCTCCATTCTTTCCTTCGCCGTTCACAGTCGTCGCGTCGCGGCTGTCATCACTGTGGCCATGTATTTTTCAGTGGTCGATGCTGCCGTCTGCGCCATTAGTTTGCTAATGAAACGGTGACGGCCGGTTGCGGTCCGCGGGGGCCATTCGACGGCGGCTGCATCTGGAGAGGAGCCCACGACTATTAGTGCCATTGAGCGACAGTGGGCCACAGAGCGGACGACAGACGGCCACACGGGCCAATAGAGCCATGGGTGCGGCGCGGGGTATAGGTCGGCATACACACATCGACAGCGCTGCGCGCTGCGAGGGTTCCACGCTGCCGAGACGGCATGGAAAGGGCTAGACAGGTGTCGTGGTTTCTACTGAGTATTGTGGCTGGTTGACGGTTGGGGGATGCCACAAGGAACGAATCACGAGTGATGAATGACCAGCAGCTGCAGAGATATGAGCCTCTCAAAACGTTACAGGCCGTGCCGCTCAATGCCTACTGATATTTTCCGTTGTACTAAAAAGACCCCGTTAGCGCTTCGTGCTCGCTTGTAATAAGCGGTAATACGCAAGGCAGTTGAGAACGCGTTGGCACCCATCGATACGGAATACTTTCGCAAGAGCATATGGACATATCATATTTGTATTTTGTAGGCATTCAGCTGAGATATACTGCGTCTGCAGCGTTCAGCGATCAGCATCACGCAGGCGAAGTCTACCGGCCAGCCCAGCAGGCGCCGGCTCCTGGAACCGTAGACTAGCCCGCAATACTCCGGTGCCTTGCGGAACGCCGCACGTAAGACGAGGAAACCAAGCGCCGAGGCATGCTTGCTTATACCCGCATACCCATTAAATTCGGGAAACTTTTAGCTTTAGATAGATAAAAAATGAATTGTGTATTTTCTCATTCCTTTATGTTGCATGTTGCAAATAAATAAGTATCAATAAACTCCCTACTGAATACTCATTATTCTTGACAGACAGCACCTACTACCTACCTCCATAAATTTTCATGGCGTCCACAATCTCATTTATCTATTCGTTCACCCATAATTTCATAGGTCAACTTCTAGCCACAAACTTCCCGGGTCCATTTATTCTCTGCATGAAACCCGCAGATGAAGTGCTGGAGTTAGTGAGTGGCCATCACGTTAACTCAAATGAAACAATAGCATACGACCGCGTCACCGCGTTTGCATAACCCTGGAAGCAATATGTAATCCGGCTGACACCGAAACAAGGTGCCAGAGACTTCCGTCGCATCATTTAAGTTGCCGCATGTCACGACCATGGCATCGGAGTGGGATGGCTGCCATTCGGTGCACCTGCAGGGTCCGGCCGCTGCCTGCCTGCTCGGGGTAGCATCCACAGAAAACGGCGGTGATTGGGGAGGGTGGTTGGTAGTGGGCCGCGGGCGGCAGGCGGTGGATAGTGGGCGGCGGGCGGTGGAAGTTGCCTGTGGGCGGAGGGCGGAGGGCGGTGGGCGGTGGGTGGTGGATGGTGGGCGGCGGGCGGTGGATGGAGGGCGGAGGGCGGTGGAAGTTACTGGTGGGCGGAGGGCGGTGGGCGGTGGGCGGCGGGCGGTGGATAGTGGGCGGAGGGCGTTCCCCAGACCACCGGCCGGCAGCTGATGCCGCAGAGCCGACGCTCGGTAAGTCTCGACTCGCGTGATGACACCACATTGATTGCTGAGCCCCGCAGCGATCTGGCTCGTTTGGCGGCGGCCCGAGGGGCAGTGGGTGAGTGGGGAACTGGAGACCTAAGGGCGGGCGGCCAGCGCTGTGAAGGAGGAGCGGCCGGCGATGGGTCTGACTGCTGAGGAATGCTAGCGTTTGTGGAAGGCTATAGATCTGAAGGTGTCGATCCGACATTGTATGGCCAACTTGCTGTGCGTTTCGCTCTACATTTTTTAGCCTCACTTGTTTAGATAGCTCAATTCAAAATATGAAAGGCTGTAATAAATTACCAGGTGTACTCGTATGTCAGTTCATTCAGCGCTCGGCTCTCATGCGGCCCAGTCGGTGCTCTGCTTTTCGAACGGACCGTCCCGCTGAGACGGTCCCGCTAAGACGGTCTACCGAGAGACAGTCCCGGTGCCTCGCAGCTGATTGATCGGTCACCGGGTCGGTCTGTACCGTTGTCATATCACACCGGTGGGCGGGGCGCGCAGACAAAGGTCGACAACACGTCATACCAGCGGCGGACCGCGACCCCACCCGACCGCGCCTCGGTTGGACGACTTCATCAGCCAGTCGGAGGCGCAGTGCTGACTGACGCCACCGCGCGCTCTTGCGTGCGCCAGCCGACAAAAGTGATTTATGCAGGTTATCATTAAACGGGACTAATCTGCGATTACCACTGCATATTGCATGACCCACTTAATGGGGTCCTCCTACTGATTGCTGGCCGGAAAACAATTTCGTCGATTGGCGGGCCGGCCTGTCGCCTCCGTTGGGTCACAGGGGCGACCTCCCTGCCCCTCCCCGTCCGTCGGTATCACGGGGGCCCTCTGTGCACCGGTTCTGTATAAACGGCTCGTTCGGTCCGGCTCACTGCCTCCGGTCTAAACAGACGCTGATGTCCGCTGCCCAGAAGTCAGCCCGTTCGGGCCCGGCGGGACAATCAGACAACCAAGTTACGCAGCACGATGGACCTAGCTCTGCACATGAGTCCCCTCGGGTTCGATCAGTGCTCAGTGCTGCGACGCTGCACAACAGTGTCCAACCTATCGGCGCCACCGAACGGCATAAAAAACACACATCCGCCTATGCCGATAAAGGAAATGGTGACCTCCTATTCCTTCCTCCTGACGAAAATAAGGACAACAATTGTAATCACGGTGTTCTGAAGTGAGTCTGTGAGTCCTCGTATATCTGCATATTTCAGGAGCAGTTCAGTATTCTCCAACCAGTATGGGTGAAGCTTAGCTTTTCCAGGAAATTTGGTGGGGTAAAAAGTCGTCAAACCTACAATGTCCAATCGATAAGTTAGATTAAGTGCAACACCTAATCAATGCTTTTCATTACAGGGATAATATTTTGTTTTACACAGACATTTCAAAGCTCCTCAATGCGAATAAGATTGGTTTGCTTAGAAACAAAGTCCTACAAATGAGCTAAACTAGGTGAGCTAAACGCTAATTGGAGGGGCAAAATGGCAAGTTAGTGGGACAGCCGCCCCACTAACTGAATAGGAAGCTCCGTCCCTGCCGGGCGGACTAGATGAGTAGCTTGAGGACCTTGGTAACGTGGATTCAAGAAATAAGGATTGTACGAGCAATTGTAGCAATTGTCCACCGCTCGTATAAACAGCGGTGGACAATTGTGCCAGATGGGAAAGGCACGAGCTTTCCCAATTCCACGCCGGCTTGGCTTTGAAGCCGCAACAGACGACGGAGGTCAAGGTCACCGCTAGGGCGGCGGCGCATTTGCTGCGCCCGTGCAATCCCAACTCAGCACAGCTGTCTACCCCTGTGCATACAATAGTTGAAGGGTAAGGCCCAAGAAATAATGAATATTCTTGTCTGATGAATATTCTATCAGAATGTAAGCAATAACAAATTTCAGGGGTTGGTTAAATCGTAGTGCAGAGGTTGAAGTGATAGTCCTTGTACCCTCGAAACTGCACGGGGAGTCCACCGCCAACATAAAGAGTAAAGACGTTCAACTACTTCTAACTACTTCCCGCTGTTAACACGCCCTTAGTGGGGGCCGGCACTGTCGTTAACAATGCCACACGCTCCTGGCGTGACAAGACTCACTTGAAAGGCGGCTGGGCGGCGCTAACATCAGGGATTAGCCCAGGCTCAGCCCAGATTTGTGACGGAAACCATACGGACGAGTGCCTCTTTGTTTCGGTTCTCTGTCATTTGATAGGAAGGTGGACTATGCCTACCTTCTATGGAAACAGACGGTTGCCTCCACTTTTGGCACGTTCCTACGTATTTATCAATGATCTCTTAATTTTCCGTATTTGCACTAAAGATTTGCCACACATAACCCGACTTGAACCCGACGTCCAAGCCCAAATGCGCGACTGATATGTGAAAGATCGTTTAGATGGGCTTTTCTCCATTTTTTTTTTATTTGTAGGTGCGTTCTTACTCTTGATGTTTTATCTCTCCCTGCCATATTACAAGAAAAATATGAATTTGATAGCAAAAGTCACATCATCCACCGCTGTTGATCTAACCTGGAGCAAATGGCAATTAGCAACTTCAAATCACGAGCTGTCTGTGAAACGTAAGCGGTGAACGCGATTACTGAAAAACATGTAGGGTGACTCGTGAGATCTGCATAATTGCCAGATCGTGAGATTTGCTGGTGAGATTTGCCTGCCGGTTTGCTTGTGACTTGCTCTAATCGTTGGCCTGCTGTCTGCCTGTTACAAGTATGTATTTACCTACACAGTTGTGGCTGTAAGTACTCGAGCACCGGACCGTCCCCTGGTGCCGCGGAGCGCCGCCACCGCGGTCCACGGCAGACGTCCCGCGCAGGCGACTCTGCTCCCGTCAGACCTTGTGCCGCTCCCTGGTGAACCGTTATAGCTGGCCGACCACGGGTCCAGGCCTGTCGGTCAGCTATCGGTGCTACAATAACACAGGGCCCCGGTGCCACCTAACCGTCACTGCCAGAGCCGCCGGGACCCGGGAGCGGCCGCCGCCTCCGCGGGCGCAGCTCCGTCACCGCGCTGCGACAGTAGTTAGTCCTGCGGCCGCCAGAGGCGCTGCAGGTCTGCGGCGCTCGCGGCCCGGCCGTCCGCGCGAGGAGCAGCGCCTGCCAGTGCCGCCGGCGAATCGTGTAGCGCGTGACCGCCGCGGGGCAGAGCCGCCGCAGCCCGAGGGCCGACTGTGAGAGGTGTGAGCTGACGGAGCATGAGCTGTGGCCCTCGCTGAGTGAACCAGGTGAGTCCTCACACGAACCAGCCATAGCACGGGAGCAGTGAAATCGAAAACGTCTCGCGAAATGGAATAAGGCGCTGAAGCGGTACTTGGTGTTTATAGCCGGCAATAATCCCGGTCGTGGTCGAGATGTGATCTGACGATTTTTCAGCCCTTCCCTGACGGTGACATTTTCCGCCCGTCTCTGCCGTAGCTGTCTCCACCGTCGCCGTTTCCGCCGCAGTGCTGTCTCCGCCGTACCCTTTCCGCATTACCCTGGTGAAGTATGATCATGGCCGCGGTCTTATCGCTGTCCTGCCACTGTCACCACCGTATTTCGTCCCGTCCAACTGTCGGCGGAGCGGTGACAGATGAATTATAAATCGCCGACGGCTGGCGGTCAGTGTTTAGTGTCTGCGCGCACGCTGCTCGCAGTTCGTAGTCAGACACCCGGCGGATTCGGACGGCGTTCAGCCTAATAACTACCTCTGTGAACGCTGAACACTGCGTACCGGCAGCAAAACAGACCCTCAGCGGCGCCTGGACCGCAGCCTGGTATAATTTGTTACCGTTTCCACAGCGCTGCCTGCTGACATACCTATTGTGCATGATTCTTCGGTAAACGTAGATTTCTACAACTCATTGGATGTTATTCAAACAATTCTGCTGGATGATTTTAAGTACGAGAAAAGGCATCAATTACTGCTTAAGTGTATTTAGATCATTTTGCTGGGAATGCCTTGATCAGATGCCACTCCCAAGAGATGGAGTAAGAAAGGGAGGTAAGCTTTCTTGCAAGGAAAGAAAATGAGAGAGAAGGGAGAGGAGGGCGCAGAGAAGAGAGGGACCGAGAGCGGAAAAGATAGATAAAGGAATAGAAAAGAATTAAACATTCAATCCTGTTAAAAAATGCATTGGGAACCTGCTTACCAATTCACCTTTCCGAACCGCGCAATAAACGGCTCGATCGGTTCCGATGTCATAATTGACGTCTAACCAACATCTTGGCCGTCAGCACCAGTTAACACTTTCTCAACCAAAACAATGTATCTCTTTGGATAACCTTCAAAAGACACCTGAAACATTGCGGCTTGGAATGTGTGTCGGCGTGATGTCTTACCCTACTTATCGTATCTTTAAATGTGAAATCATTAACTCATTCATTATCATTAAATGTGAAAGCTGGACTGGACATAACGCGTTTAAAAAGGCCTTCACTTAACGTATTTTTCTGCCACTAGGCACTAGGTACAGGTTCGTTACTATATAAAAAGTCAAAGTCAGTATACAGGGCTCACTAAACAGTGAACACAGAGCTTACCGCTGGGTCATCGCAAGTGAGATCTGCATTTCATGTTATCACGCTGAGTAATTGAAAAGGCCCGAGACTGTTATATCTCATGAAACATCCCCGACAAGACCCAGCAGAACTAACAGTCGAAATCTGACGCAATATGCGGCCAAAGCTCGGCGTGGCCGTGCCATGTAAACGAATGGGATGTTCGACTGATAGAAACAAAGTCAGAGATGTATTGATGATTGCCTACTGTCTATGTAGACATCAGACTACCAAATGACTCGAGTCGACCGGTAAATGTGGCTCTATGAGCTAAACGCGAGGCAGCCTTCACTGAATGTCGGGCGGATGTTTTCATGGCTGATCATTATAATTTAAAGCTTAAATGTCTTCACTAATTTCCTCGGACATTAGGCATTTCGCAAAGCTATTAACCTCATGGCGACACCATCAGAAACAATTCAGAAATTTATTGAGTCATGGACGTTTCATGCTAAATTTAAACTGATTGCCCTCTCCCAGCTGTCATCAGCGGTTTATCTATATTACTATTTGAGGAAGGCGTAGTTTCTGTCTATTACGAAGGTCGCGACATGGTGCTACGTAGCGCGGGTTACAGGTCACACCGTTGCACCTACCGCGCTGAAATTTGCGCAAGTTATAGAACAAGGATGGACAACGTGCCTTTGAGCGGTCTCGGCTCGATCGGATCGATAGCGAGCGCGTGGCGCGTGCCCAAAAAGTGCAAATTCGCGTCATAGACTTTACATGTATAAATCGGCTGGCAAAAACGGGCAAAAATGGCTAAATTTGCCCGACACGGGTCCGTTCCCCGTGCAATATCTCGGTAGCCGTGCGCCCGATCGGCACGGGGAAAACAGCATCGTGTAGAGAATCGAACGGGCAATCGAATAGTGTGCGGTGCAGGGGTGGCACGTGCCACGTGCACATGTGAGGGCAATTTCATTTCAAAAAGTGCCGCTTTAAATGGATTTTGGATTCTATTTCATTTTCACGCGACCGCCAGACTGAGAGAGTTGAAACAACTCCTATTGGGAAGAGAAATGTACCGCCTCTAATGGAAAAATTGTGAAAAGCTAACTAATCAAAAACAAGGTGGAACAAATTGCTGGAGAAAATGGTATTTGTCCATAATGTGCCACTAAATAATTACACGGGATTTGCTGCTTAACCTGATACGCTTGACAATTGAAAATGCTATCATTAGAAAGAGCATTCAATTCTCTCCAAGATCCAATCATCACGTTTGCATGACAAGTAACAGTATTCTTAAAAATATAAATGTTTCGAACCTCTGCAAAACGATTTTTAGCGAAAATTATCTACGCCTTTCATTTGTCATAAAACTACGCACCAAAATTATAAAACACATTTGACAGATTCTGAAGTGGAAAGCATGCTTATCAGACACGGGCACCTCGATGCGGTGGATATTTTTTTCCAAACCAAAACGTTTAGCCGTCAAAAGGCAATCGACCGAAATAGATAGATAACCCAACCGACACAAGAACAACTAAACACCCGCCGATCGTAAATACCCCTTTTCGCGTTGCGGAGCACGCGGGCCACCCTAGTAGCTTGGCTATTACAAATCGATGAATTAGCAGGCGTTTCAAATACTCAAAGAACGTGCACCTCTGCATCTTCATTTCCTGTCCCGGTGGTCCAGTCTCATTTGATCTTACGTGTATTTATCTATGCGTGAAAGAAAAATAGTCATGTTCTATTATATACTGCCGCGCCGGCACTATAAAAGACCACCTGCCTGTAGGACCAACTGATGCGTGCTATCAATCACGCTGGCACTCTGTGTTTGACTGTGACCCGCTGTATATTGTTGCAGTCTGCTCTCTGTGCCCTCCACGCGCACACCCAGATTCTGCTCGCTCGGTCCGGTCCCGGTCCCGGTCCCGGTCCAAGGTCCACTCAGCTCGCTGGGGGCCGGAGCGAGGTGGGGGACTGACCGCCGTTCGAACACCCACGCGGCTCGGACGTCCGTTTATGCAGTGAGGCACTATACTGGGGCCCTATGCCACCGACGGAGCGGCCGCCAGTCATGTCACGAATTACGCCAAACCAATTCGGGGTCGTTCCTCTGCAAATAAACTCGAATTTTCCCCAATTCATTGTGTCGACTGAGCTAATCGCTATGTACACGGCCATCGGGACGCGGCGGAGGTTAATAATGTCCCTACCAGCCTCACAATAACGGCCTATTTATCGATCTGTCTCAAACGTTATGCTCCGATGCGCTGCAAGGACGGCAAGTGGTCGATGAGAGCCAAATGAAGGGTGACTCTCGGTGCCTGCGAAGTCACCCGTAGAAATAACCGAGCCGGAGTCGTTAGACTGGTTTTGTTCTTGAGTCGATAGTGCGATGCACAGCCGGTAGTATTGTTAGTGCTGGTTTTTACGAGCGTTTATATGTCCCGGCATAAGATATCGGGGCTGTCCCCGCACATGATTTTCCATAGAACTGGCGGTAGTCGCTGATCCTTCCCTTCCGCTCGAATCCTGTTTGGTATCCTGTCCAGTTCGTGCCTCGCTCACTGCTGGCTGGTCGGGGCTGCCTCCCGTTCCTCCTGCCTGACATCTGTCCTGGTCCCATACCTACTCATGTCCGCTGCACTGTTTGTCCCATGGTCCCACACTCCTGTCCGCTGCTGTCTGAAGCCATGCCCCACTCCTGCCCCCTGCTGTCTGTCATGCCCCCCCCCCCCCGCTCCTGTCCGCTGCTGCCTCTCCCCACCCCTTGTCCGATGACCTCGCACCGGGGTGACAGCCGTTGACAGCCTGGCTCGGCACATGATACGCATGGCTCAGGGGAGACTCTGCGTCATCCAGGTCCACACCGGCCAGCACAGAGCCTTGCCTTGGAGCCGTGGCGCGATAGTTCGCTGTTCATAACTAGTGATCAATTGAAAAATTCCGTTACGTGCTAATGTAGCGACTCATCGCATTTCTAAGTGATACAGAGCTCACCTCACAGAAAAGAAAAAGGTATTTTTAAGTACCTGTCCACCGCTTCTTCTTTACCATATTGTTTAAGAAATTTGTGATAAATTGATATCGCTTCGAATTCTCTTGCAGTCATATTTCATACAAACTCCCCTACCCGCTACCGCGTAGGTATAAATGTCATCAAGTTCCCTTTTGACCAGCATTTCGCCTTCATCGTTCTGAACTGAGACACCCGTCACCACTGCACCGTCCCGTCACATACCGTTACACCGTCACTCTGCACGGACAGCTCCGTCTGCCATCGACTGCCGCGGCCGGCGTCTCTGTCCATCGCATCACGCGGCCGCGGGCTTCATTACCGACCCTCCCTTCCGCCTCCTGCTCCGGTCCTCTCTTCAGTCGCCTGTCGCGTCGCGGCGTCATCACCGCCGGGCCGATGACGTGTGCGGTTGCCGGGCTGACCTCAGGGTGTGGAGGGACGCCTCCCAGCCGCGGCCTGCAGCGCTCCTGGCCCAGATAGGAACGCAGCCCGTCCACTGGCGGTCGCAGCCGCTAGCAAAAGGGGGGGCCAAAGTCACACTCGCGGGACATAACATTTATCCGTCACCGGGAGGGGGGGGGGGTGATCGGCTAATTTTTTACGTCCACGAGGCGCCGCACAGTTGGCATTACTTATGCTTCATCCATCTCATTCTTGCGTGAAATCTTTGAGCTCAATTTAAGGCAAAATCACCAGTTCCATTTA